TCCCCTTTGGTTTTATTTAAAAATTTGCAAGAATTTTAGGCCAATAAATGAACTGAAACTTCATTTACATTCCTGAAGCGGACATGTTTCTATTCATTCAGCAGCTGCAGCACAAAGTGGCTCCGTGGCACTTCTAAATATAACAAAGCCTTTGTTTCAAGACCTGTTTTTATTTATTCTTTTCCCGCCAGGCTCATGTAATGCTTCTGCCATGTTTATAACCTCCAGTCCAGATTTAGACCTTTGGGGAAGACTTAAAGGCACCATAATGAAATTTAAGGATAAGGCTGGTGATATTTTAATGGGTAGCTTTGTGTGTATACAGCAGTTGATTTATCTTATTCCTCTTTGGTCCATATCGCTAACTTCCCCATTCATTTTTATATAACTCACCGGTTTAAATGATTAAGGCTTAAAGTTATGCATAACTAAGGGCTTAGCCACTCCACCCACGCTGATCAACAACTGCTGGCAAGCTCACTGCTAACAAGCTAGTAAGCCGGGCTCGCGCTAACAGTTCTCAAGCGTCTCCCTGTTTTTCTATATTGTGTTGGTACCAACACCGACATTTTGTTCACTATTGTACACCATTTTGTTAAATGAAAAGTTACTGAAGCAAGAAAATAAAGCGCTGCAAGCTTAACTGTCAGTTAGCAAGCTCATAAGCCTGTTAGCTTAGCTGCTCTGTTGCTAATTGGACATTAAGTTCACACAGTTTAAAGATGTATGTGTACCAATCTGTCTCATAAGTGTGTGGGAACCATTCCCATGTTGATGAGGAGCAGTTTGTCCGCTGACAGAGGAGGTGAAATAAAAGTGGACGGTGACACGCAGCTAATATGCTACCATAGCTTCCTCCGTTTTGGACTCTTTGGCTGAATGTTGAGAATTTGGGGTGCGCTGAGTGAAGGCTGAGGTGAGGACCCAAATGCAGACAATGGCGAGGCGAGAGGAGGAAGCAGTTCAAACAAAAGATTTATTCAGCAAAAACAGGCTTACTCATTAGCACAGCAGGTCCGAACAAAGTAAAATCCAGAACAGGGCAGAGAAAACAATCCAAACGCAAGGAAGAGATCCATGAAACAAATGCAGGAACACTCAACACTAGACGCAAGGACCGAAGACAACTGAGGACAATATATACACACTGGTAAAGGAGCAGGGAGGCAGCACCACAGGTGACCGGGGTCAGGGCTAACGAGGCAGGCAGAGAGACATTCACAGATGCAAAACACAAGACCATACATTAACTGGAACTCAAAGTATTTAGTGGACAAGCAAGCAGAGTAATTACAGGGGGAACAGACACCAGCAAACCGTTCACAAATAAACACCAACAAGGAACACAGACTGAAGCTAAGATAAAACAGGACTCAGATTCGACATGGGCAAAACGCAGGAGTGAACACCTAAGACATGAACTAAGGTACAGGACTAAGAACTAAGACACCGAACTAGGAACTAAGATACGAAACCGATACTAAGTAACTTGAAGATGCGGATGATGATGATGATGAAAAATAATAATCACAGGACTAAGAAGAAGACTACACAGAGAAACACAGAACCAAAAACGGGCTTAAACAGGAAACATGAACACACAAACCACATTCCTGACACATTCTGGCAATTACATTTACATTAATTGATTTTTGGCACTATATTTTGCAGTTTTAAATGCTAATATGATCGTGAGCGTAAAGAGTCAATCGTACATTCACCATCTGGCGGCTGTAAACACTCACTAGATGAACTGCAGCTGAAATTAGTCCCCAACAGATGCACTTTTTCCTCCTGTGTGAGTAACGTTTGCTAAAGACTCTCCGTGAGCAGCTGTTTTAGGAAATTTACTAAGAATGAAAATTAAATCATGTATTTTAGGGCTGCGATTAACGGTTATTTTCATTATCGATTCATCTGTTGATTTTTTTTTTTTTAATCGATTTTTAGTTGTTAGGTCAAGAAAATTATGAAATATGTCGATCAGTGTTTCAAGGTGACGTCCTCAAATGTATTCCTTTGTCCACAACCCAAATATATTCTGTTTACTGTCACAGAGGAGCAAAGAAACCAGAAAAGATTCACATTTAAGAAGCTGAAATCGTTTTTATTTTTCTTTAAAAAGGGACTCAAAGTGAGTGATTGATTATCAAAATAGGTGGCGATGAATTTAATAGTTGACAACTAATCAGTTAATTGACTAATTGTTGCGGCTCTAATGTATTAAAGATTTTTGTCTTCACTAAGAAACAATAGGTTTGGGGCTGAGCGCTGCAAACAGGGCAGAGAGATCAGAAAGTATTGATAGTTGGCTTTGGTCTTTTAGTGGGATTTGTTGAAAATGTAAATATATAATAGAAAAATATTGCTAGCTTTATCTTAACTGTGCATAAAAATCACAAACTCTTTGCCTTCTTGCCATCTTTTTTTGTTTTAATCATTTTCCTACAGTGAAATCTTATAAAGTTTTAGGCTTAAAAACTGATCTGTAAAGCTTCAGTGTAATTTCTTTAACGCAGCATCTCTCCCCTCAGACTCGTGCTGTGCAGTATCAGAGGCTGACCTGGTCTTTGTTAAGGTTTCAGCCGGTTCTGTTTATAGTCTAAAATACCTTCCATCTGGCTTTGCGGCGACCGTTTGCCAAATGTCTTTTCCCCGTTGCATATTCTCTTCCCTCTGTCCTCCCTGCAGGTGCCCCCCTCTCTAAACTGGCACAGGCCGTGTTGTAACAGTAACCTATTTACCGTGATGGGAATATGGGTCGGGTACACGGGCACTGTGCTCACGCTACAGGGCTTCACTGCCAGGAGGAAATATCGAGTCAGGCCTCCATATTTCACCCAGATTTCATAGATTTATTGGACAGTAAGAGGCCATTACTGTACGGAGAGGAGGGGGTGGCTGCAGGGAGGTGAAGAGATGCAGGAGAGAGATGCTGCGTTCACATCTGGCTGGATTTACTGTAAATATGAACCACCACACAGACGGAGAAAGGTCGTCAACATTTTCCTAGTGGTGAAAGCGAGTTGGATGGATTGGGATTTCATAGCTTTCACTTGGCATCAGTTCTGTGAAGAAATTCACCTGTGTAGTGTGTAATATTGGCAGCAAATTGCACTTAAAGTATGCAAAACGGCTCGTAATCTTATCAAAATTGCAGTAGTCTGAATAGAATATGGCCTACTGCAATTTTCACATCGCAGGAGGTGCCGGCACTAGTTACACACACAACTTCAAATGCAATTTGTGGGGTTTATTTTATTTTCTTCCCACCTTTTAGGGCTGGTAATTTTATAGAAAGTAAAATTAAAATACAATTACTATTCCACTGAAGAAACTGGTGTTGAATGTACAAAACAAAACAAAAAATAAATAAACTGGTCTTTGAGTCAAAAATAGAAACCAAGTAGTTACTGCTCCTGCATACACGCGGCAATGATGCAGCAATTAGTACAAATAAAACCGAAATGCAGCCCAAATATGACACACAAGCAGAATAAACACGGTACAAGAAATACGGCCGTGGCTCCTCCTATTAAGACGGGACAGGAAAACATTCACAGCACTGCACAAAAATCACTTTACATTAGTTACATTACTTTACATTACTTATCAAATGTTTGAGCTCATTTGTGTAACAAAGGAAACAAAAGATAAATAGATAATAGTCACGAAAATTAAAATACAACAGTCATCAGGTATCTTCCGTTTCATACCCAACTCACGGATAACGAGCTCTCGTGGCCCACAGGTAACAACATTATTCATAAATGTTCTCACCATTCCAGGCAAAGGAATGGCTGCTGCAGCTGCTTCACATAAAAAGTTGTTTTCTAGTGTTGTAATACTCGAGACCGGTCTTAAGACCACTTTTTGATGGTCTTGGTCTCGTCTCGGTCTCAACTGCATTTATACCCAGTCTTGTCTCGGTCTCAAACACTGAGGACTCTTGAGTTTATATGTGGGAGTTTTAATGGGAATGTGGATCTTTCAGATCAATTTGAGAAGAACCTGTGATCTCGTTCCACATTTTATTGGGTGTCATGTAATGTGGGGAACTGGTCTCGGTCTTGTCTCGGTTTGGGCGGTCTTGACTACAACACTATTATTTTTTTCCTGTATTTTCCCGGCGCCCGTTGACCTCTCGGCAAGCACGAGGCTGTTTAAGCCAGTGACGCCCCCTGCTGTCTAAGGTCAACACCTGCAGCAGTCTCGCTACAGCAGAAATTTGTATTTAGAGGTTTAAATACTTGAATGTCCTGTATATTTAAACTTTTGATTTTATCACCTGGTTACGTAAGTTTGACGTATAATATGACGTATAAATCTTTCATTTCTAAAGTTCTTGCTAACTACTGTCAGATATATGTGGTGAAGTAAACGGTGCATTATCTCCCTCTGAAACATAGTGGAGTATTGTAAGCATAGAGTAGCATACAATGGAAATATTCAAGTAAAGTGCAAGTACATTGAGTGTAACCACCAGGTTACAGCGATGTTTAGGTAAGAATGGGGAGTTATGTGTCTTAAATATGTTGCTGTTAAAAAAACAAACTTTGCATGGAGGAGAAATTAATCTTCAAAGGCTAAAATAACATAAATAAAAGAAAGATCAGATATTACTCTTATTAGGGTAATATTGATATCTTGGTTTCCTGTGAATCTGGATCTGAGAGACAGACTGTCAGTCAGAGAGGTCACAGAGTTTCTGGCCTCTCATCCCTCTGCGCTCTGAGATTGAGGTTGTGATTTGTACTGGGTTTGTGGGTGTAATCCTGGAGATTTGAGCCCCCCACGCCCCCCTGCCCCAGTCTGGATCATGATCAGGCCAGCTTAGCCTCTGAGGTCTGTGGTCCTTATAGCATCTGTCACCACTTGTTCACATCACGCTTATCCCCAAAGCAAGTCTGGCTGCACGATCCTGCACTGTTCTCACACAGAACACCTGTTTATGTAAATGTGAATCGTGACTGTGGTGTCTCTTGTTTACATGTTTGCAGATCCAGCATCATGGGGAAAGGCTGCATGACAGTAACCAAGTACTTCCTGTTCCTCTTCAACCTCATCTTCTTTGTGAGTATTTTACCTCCTCTAATGATTTAATGATAATGTGCCATTAAAGGATTAATGCACCTTTTTATAAACATGGTTTAAGAGCCGTTCTCAGTGCACGTCAATGCCTGAAAGGTCCAGCGTGTGATATTTAGGAGGATCTATTGACAGAAATGCAATATAATACACATAACTGTTTTCAGTGGTGTATAAAGACCTTACATAAAGAACCGTCGTGCTTTTATTACCTTAGAATGAGCCATTTCTATCTGCATGCACCGGGGGTCCTCTTACATGGACGTCACCATGTTGCGCCGCCGTGTTTCTACAGTAGCCCGAATGGACAAACTGCTCTACAGAGCGCGTTTCGTCACGTTACGTTGAATATGTAAGAAGAAGAAGGAAGAAATAGTAGCGGCAGTAGTCGTCTGGTTTGTTAGAAGTAAGAAGAAAAGTGAAATTAATATAGCACAAGGGCCGACAGAGCTACTCCTGCGCACTTGCAAAGGGAGGGGTGAGCGGCGAGTGAGCTGCTGGTTGCAATTCACGACCTTCACAGCTAGATGCCAATAAAACTGAACCTTTTTAGTACTTTATGGCTATGTACATGATGCTAAAAGACAGTAGATACATATTGTGTAGAACTGCATATTGTAGTGTGGACCTACAGCAGTTAGTGTCTGTGTAAGTATAATAAATAAAAATGTTAGGTTAACGATATTACGCCTATGAATACAAAAACCCTAATAAATCCATACCTTACACTTTTGCTTCTTTTGGACTACCATAAAACTTTATCGCCCGGGCTTTAATTTGCTTTAATCACTGAACTCGCCTGCCTGTATTTGGGACTGGCCTTTAATTCATTTTGCACAAAAGTCTTGCTCAGCAAAGATGGAAAAATAGGCTACTATTACATTTGTTATTTCAACCAGTATGAATATCATGTAAATAAAAATTAGGCTGTCGGATAACACATCAATTACGAATCATTCATTTGGCCAAACCTCAAGAACAGACTGGTGGTTTCCTTAAAATTAACTAAACAAATGAATTGTGGAAAATATAACTGATGTTTGAGGTGAAACACGTCCAAAGAAAAGTTTACTATCTAGTTCTTCAACTTTCAATCAGGAGCAATTTATTTTGATAACATTTTTGGCCATATCGCCCAACTCTAGTCTTGTTAGATTTTCTTCTTTGTTTTTGTTGGAGTGTCAGTTGCAGTAAATATCAGGAAGTGTTTAGAAAATGGCTAATGTCCTTTTGTCTGCTGCGTAAAAATTCATCCAGTGCTTTCAAGAAGAGGAATTATAACAGAATATTGGAAACTGTGTAAAAGTATCTTAAGTTGCTGTAAAGACTGCAGTTTTGTCGACGGCTTCATGTAGATCCTATCATTCATGTTGTCTTTCTGAGACTTAATTGCAGTGCAGATAAAGTGTTTGTGGCTTAGTTACCAGGGTGATACTCGCTTTCTCGCTCTCTTTTTTTCTCATAAATCTGTGATCTGAGGTTAAGCGCTTGTGTTTGAATTCCTCCATGTATGAGATACTTTAGTAGTAGGTGTTAAATCACAATAATTGTTTGGTTTAAAATAACCGTACAGTACTGAACCACGTTTGATTATTTTCTTCTTTCATTTGAAACTTTCCATATAAACAAAAACAACTCCTGCGCTGTATTTATATACATTTATAATTTTCAGGCCTCTGCACTTAAATGATTTTATCTTAACACAGATGTGATTTTATTGGTCAAGAGACCTTAAACTTTTGGATCTTTGCTTGCAATGTGAAAACTTGAGACTTTAAACAAAAGACTTAAAATGGCTTCGAATTCTGTCTCCAAACCAAAAATTTTTATGACGTTAAACGGAGACTAAAGGGACACGGAAAGTTCAGCTCTCACTACTTTTGTAACGTCTAACTGAAGGTCTGTGGTTTGGAGTTTAGTTTCACTCCTACTTTCATGTTATAAGATATCAGCCTGATTTTACTGTTTGCTGCTGGCTTGCAGTTGTATCTGAGCTTTTAAATGACTGCTGAGGCAACCTGAACATTTCCTACTGCAGCTGCCTCACATAAAAAATATTTTAACAAACAACCTAGATTTTTATTTTTGCACATTATTTAGTCCATATTTAGCACCTCTTTATTTTAAACACAGAGTTAGTGGACCTAATTATATTGAATAAAACCACATCCACACAACCATATATGGACATATTTGGAGCTATTTGCTCAGCAAATCGCTTTTAAATATTGTAGAACAAGCAAAAACAGATGAGATGTTAGATTAAGAGACAAACCAGAACACCCCTGCGTTTATCCTGTATCAGCAAAAGTCTGAAAGGATGATTAACAGCAGCACAGACCTATAATTCCTATAATCACGGGCGCCACAGTCTAATTTGTTCCACCATAGTTTATATAGTGTGTACAGTATGGAAATAAGATTAATTGGATTGTATTCACAGAAGGTATACAACATGTTAATTACTTTTATTCTTTGATTCTGCGTTATCACCATTTATATTTATACTATGTGTTTATGATCAAATTGTTTACTAGAGCGCAAAGTTCTTCATAGATTTTAATTTTGCTCTCAACGTGCACCAGATTAATGCATTTTAACTTGTACAAAATCTTGTTCCGGGGGCAAATCCCCAGATCCCCCGAGAGGGTCCGAGGTCCACCCAACACAGTGTCTCAAACTCCTGTGGGAAACACTTCCACTACCAGTGAAACATGCCAGTATAACCAGTCTGAAACCAAAGTGTGAGCTGAAAGTATTGTTGCATCCTCTGTTGTCTGGTGTGTTGAAACACGCTCTCGTTGACACACAGCCTGTCTGCAGCCTGTTTTTATGGCTCACCTGTGTGTGTTTGTCCTCCAGCTGTGTGGGGCCGTCATCATGGGCTTTGGGCTGTGGCTCCTCCTGGACAATCAGAGCTTCATCGTCCTCCTGAGTAAGTACCCGTATCAGATTTTAATGCGATTTCCCTTCCAGAGAAACAGAAACGGATCGCTCTGTGCGTGATTTGTTTACATCATATGACCCGATTCTTTTCATTTGTATGTTTTGAGATGTAATTGTCGCTCCAGTGAAGTCAGGTTTTCTGTGTTTAGACTGAAAGATGGGATAAAACCCTCCGTTGCAGCTCCTCTGGCTGGATTTCAGTGGGATGACTTCTGAAGCACAAACGAAGCAAACCGCCAATATCGTTATATTTTTTTTTTTCCAGTGAACCTTTTTACACTAATCCACTTGTAGAGCGCATGTAGGCCAATACAAATGGAGGCATGATGAACAGGCGGAAAACGGGACAAGTTCTGGCTGCAGGCTGCCTGTGTTTCTTTTTAATGCGCTTTAAATGTGTTTGAGTTTGAGAAGAAAGAAGAAGAAACCTGATGAACTATAACTTAATCTGGGTTATAGGCGAAAGTAGACGAGACTCTTTTACTGTTGTGGGACTGACTGACCCCGGACTCACACAGGCGGCCGCGTCACGGCTGCCGGAGCAGATCGCTGCCATTGTAGTCGATGCTCGTGGTCACACCTGAAGCGCCGCAGCGCGTCTCAGAAGCGGCTCTCCGCTCCGCTGCGCGACGAATAGGCAGCCGGTCTATTTTTGACAGAAGACGTGTCAAGCAGCACCGAGCAGATGCGCCGGGCAGGAAGTCAGACTAAAATAAAATACCTTGTACAGACTCCCGATCGTATATCAACAATAAACTATGCAGCCTTCTTAACCACGGTAGAAGCACAAAAATCAAGGTCACCTTACCAAATCAACTAAATCTAAACAATTCGGCAAAATCAGGCAGGTACAATTCTGAAATGCTCCACGTGGGGGGAACTCAGCCCTGCAGGGAACTGCAGGGCTGAGTGGTCACAGAGCGCTGTGATCGGTTGTAGAAGCACACAAAATGAGAAATAAACAACAAGTCATGAATTAGAGATCCATCCCAGAGATGGACTTGTTAACTATGAGTGATAAATTATCATGAAGTTTATCTTTACCTGCTGCCATTTACATTGTAAATGCTCCGTATTGTATAGCGCCTTTCTAGTCTTTCCGACCACTTAAAGCGCTTTTACTACATCTGCATTCACCAGTCAAACACATTCATGCACTGAGCCTAAGTGCTCAAACGGAAACTAACATTCACCCGCCAGGGGAAATTCGGGGTTCAGTATCTTGCCCAGGGACACTTCAACACGCAACCAGGGGGAGCCAGGGATTGAACCGCCGACCTTCCGATTAACGGCCAACCCGCTCTACCTCCTGAGCCACAGCCATATTTATTGGTTCTGTTCTTTATCTATACTCTTATTGGTTTTTCATTATTACTAAATAATTGCCTTTTAAAAATATGTTCATTTAAAAAAGAATAAATTCAGAACTGTTTTCAGAGCAGCGACAAAATTAAAGTTTACTGCAGAAAAGTAACAATATGAAATCAGTTTCTAACTGGAAAAAAAAAATGGAACATGTTAAATAAACAATATTCCTGACCTCAAAATACTGAGTACAGTTCAGAAAGGAGACACCAGTCAGTTTCAGTCCTCCTCCTCCTCCCTCTGCTGCTGCTGATCTCGGCTATCTGTTTTTAAAATGACCGACGCAGATTATTGGAAAAATGCTGAATATCTTTTTTGGGTGCTTTTTAGAGGCTGACTTTTTCTTTTCGGGAATCCTGTGGGTCACAGGAGGGGACGGGACAGGAATCATGGGTTTGTTTTTTTTAAATATATAAACATGCATTTCTAATACGCCGTTTTCTGATGGAGTCATTCTTCCACGACCGACACAGGACAGGATTTTTTTTTTATATTATTCTTTATTCTGTCACGATACCAGAAATGTAATAGTCGATACCAATACCAGTAAACTTCCGCTATTCTCAAAAGAAGGCACATGCCTTTGGTGTGGGGAAACCCGGGTTAGATTCCCATTGCAACACTTTTGCTCTGACATAAATAGCAATTGTAAGTCACTTCAGCTAAATAACTAAATGTGAAGAACAACTACCTCTAATTTGTAAAGTTCCCATTGGAAGGGGAGGGGCTTAGGCTCTCACGACCTGCTTGCTTTAATTAGCTGCTCCACATCAGCACACCCAAACTGTGGAGGTCGGACCAGAAGCGTTACGTTCGTGTTTCCCAAAACTTGTGTCATAATTTAATTTCCAACCTGTGGCTGAATCTCATAAATCATCAATGTCTCCACAGGCTACCAGTGTTTTTAATTTAATGATTCCATCTGTATTAACTGGTTAACTGGCTCTGAGCTGCATCCCGACTCCAATAACAGACATTCCTTCATCCTGTCTGTCGGTCACTGTGACCCTGACGGAGGCCGTGAACGGCGGTCTGTGTGTGGTCACTGGTGTTTTTTCCACCATATGAGACTGGTTCAGTTTAAACACAAGTGTCCAGCAGATTTCCTGACTGTTTTAAAAAAGAAATTCCTTTAAACCTCTTTCTTTCTTTCTTTGTCTGTTTTTCCTCCTCCCATATTTCTTTCTCATCATGGCCTCTTTTACTGCCCACTCTTACAGATTTTAAAGAAGTAGTTCACTTATTAGTGCACTTAATCTGTCCAGCGGGGGAAAAAATAACTCTGGCAGCTAAAACCAATGTTCAAAATATTTGGCAATTCATTTTCTGTCAATCAACTAATCGATTACTCTCTTCAGCTTTACTTGTTTATACTTTTGGGTTGTTTCATTTATAACAAAAACATCATATTTTATAAACTCTTCAGATGTTTTGTGTGTAAAAATTTTAATTTCTAAAGTTGGCTGATAATTGGGCTGATTTTGGGTCTGATTCGCCCTCCTGACAATCGCTGGGGTGTTGGAAACGGATTATTAGCCCAAATTATCCTGTAGTTTGTGGAATTTACAGAATCTTTATAAAGTCACTGACTGGATCGGAGGCTCCTCGATTTCCTTCCAAATTGATGAGAAACCCGTAACAACTAAGGATGCACCAAACCATCGGCTGAAAATAATTTTAATTAATCCTCTCTTTCTTACTAATTTTACCGAACAATTACAGTGACATGTCGGCAGTGTGGAAGCATTTTAAGTGTCCAAAAAAAATGTCCACAAATCGCCGTTTGAAGAATCTGTTCTGTGGCTGACTTCTGTTGTTCTGTGGCAACAAACTGTCTGACCCGCTTTTGAGTGTTTCACTAATTTCTGGGAAGGCGATTAAGATAGCCGCACCTACATTTGGAGTGCATGCGTATTCCAGCCTTTACGGTAACTGAACTGGCCCAGAGCGAGCTGACAGGCAGGTTAGAGACTTTATCCTGTCAGGACTCTCATACTTTGTAAAGAGACAAACTACCTGAAGAGAGGCTCTGAAGTCTTCATGTTACGCCGGACGAGAAGCACATACAACATTATTTGTCCAACCGGGTCGGACTGGATGAATTTAGCACGAGGAGGAAACACGTGTGACAACGTCCGGTTTTCTAAATAAGGTGTCTGTACAGGATGGAAATAAGATTAATTGGATTATATTCACAGAAAGTATAAAACATATTAAATGTGTCCATTAAAAGTAAACGGACACATGTAATTTACTTTACCGGACCCTCTCGGGCCCCGGACCCCCCCACCATAGTCTCTCCACATCCTGTGAGAAACACTGAGGAAAACGCTCATTTTGACTGATTAATTTATGCAGTGGTTTAAAAAAATAAAAAAATAAAAAGTGTCTAAATAAATGGAAAAAATCTGAATGAACTTGTGTTCGGTAAATTTTTTCTTTGTATTCGGTTTTGGCTTCAGTCAAGAATTTTCATTTCAGTGCGTCCCCAGTAAAAACCAATGAGAGAAAGCGGATGGTGAAGCGTCACCTGCGTCTTCTAAACCTCAAGTTCTTCCACAGTTGTTTGTTCTTATTTATTTATTTTTTTTGGCTCTAAACACAGCACACACAAGTGCTACCAGCTGACGACGACAGTATGCCTCCATGTTTGTTTATGTCTGAACTAGGGCTGGGCAATAAAACCATAATCGCATAGGGATGAACGATTTGGGGAAAAAAAAAATGTAATTGCGATTTTTTTCTGCCAGATATTGAGATTCGATTTGCAATTATTAATTTTTAATTGAAGTTTTGCTAAAGTTCGATGTTCACTGCCGGTCTATTTCTGACGGAAGCCGCGTCAGAGCAGGAGAACCAGGTGAAAAAATGAATGGGGGGGAAAAAAGATTTCACTTATTTTTTTTCTCATGCATATTTATGGAAAAAGGATGTTGTTATAATTGTTTTGAATGTTCTGCCTCAGATTTGTTATGTGACCCACTCTTTGGATGTGTGTTAAGATTAACAAACGCTTAATTCTGTCATTATGTCTGTGGATTTTAAAATCGGTTAAGATTGTGCACCGGGCATAAGCTACCAGAAACATGTAGAGAAGATGTAGTGGGAGTAGAAGTATAAAGTGGCATGAAAGTAAAAGTACCTTAAATTCGTACTTAAGAACAGTACTTGTGTAAATGAGTATTTTTGATGAAGAACTAGAGCTCCCCCCCTAAAATATCCCTAAAACTTTGAACTAACTGTGAGTTTCTCAGAGTGAGAGACTTAAAAGAATCGAGCAGAGTCAGCGAAACAGAAAGAAAGGCACAGAGACGACTGAAGAAGTGTTGATGCAGAAATATAGAGACAGACATTGAGCTGGTGTAATGGAGAGACAGTCTGTGTGTGTGTGTGTGTGTGTGTGTGTGTGTGTGTGAGCGCTCTCAGATCAGCGGGCGTCACTGAGGACATTTGTCCCGCGTCCGTGGCCTCTCTGCAGGTGTCCTCCCCTCAGACACTGGCCTCTTTCTGCTCCGTCCAGCATCAACATGCATCACATCAGCCCAGTGCGCTCACCGCCTTACTCATCACCAACCACACACACACACACACACACACACACACCAACGCACTACATCACCAGTCTGCCCGGGCCGAGAGGCGGGAGGAGGAGCATGAGCGCAGGGATTTCATCGCTGTCGGGAATGCGGTCATACGACGCTAACCAGGCGGAGCAGGGGGTCAGAGCTGGAAGGGGACAGTTTAGCTTTGTGTCTGCACAGAAATGAGACGTATTGATGCTCAATGGAACATTTTATAAACAGAGCCGTGAATCTGAGGGTGATTCGATGCGTCAGCCTCGTGCTGCTGTAACCTGAGTCAGAGCGAGACCTCATTTCAACATTTAATTTGCATTTGGGGGGGAACTGTAGTCTGGGCTGGTGATATTATGAAATGGATTCGGTCAAAGAGTCGGAGATCCTAATGGTTTACATTTTCAGACTGTCTAGGGGGGGGAGGGTGTTTGCGTGAAATTCCACAAAATGAGAATTACTTTTAGTTTGACTTATTATTAGACACGTTAAATAGAGTTTCAACACAGTGAATTAACTGTTTAAACAGATTAACAAGAGATAAACATGGTCATCAAAACACCAAAACATGGAAATTGACACAGTTGATTCTTCAAATAATCAATATAAAGATAAAGGACCAATCACGCAGCGCGGCGGTGTCTGATTGGCTCTGACCTGAGTACTAGCTAAGCAGCACAGGTGGTTTCTTTATTTTGATAAAACGCATTACGGCGAAAACAAAGTCACGCTGGACAAGTAGTAACCTTTAAATGCATATTGCACCGTCGCTGCTTCCCTCTCGTTCAACATTTTTAAAAGCACAGCATTATGCGTAAAGGATTGTGGGGGCTTTTGCTGCGCTGAGGTGCGCACAGGCACCCTTTAAAAGTTTTCCCAAAGGTAGGAAACCTCAGCTGTGCTCTGACGTCAGCGGAACCACACGATTGGCTGAATATTTTTGCCGGCTCGGCTGTTTGATTGGCTTTCTTGCTCGTTACTGGCCTCCCCATAGGACTCTAATCTGAAATCTTTAAGTGGCGCGTCTCTTTCTTAAATCGTCTCTGGCCACAGTTTGACAACTCAACAGCTATTAAGGTGCATTATGGGAACAAGGGGGACTATCATATTGGGGACCAAAAGTCAGGATATCCCAGCTTCTTTGTTTTAAATATGTCTCTCGTGCACTTATAAACTTAATGGAAGTGCAGAATTATATTCCTGGAAATATCCCTTTAATTCAGAAGAATCCGAATCAGAAAGAGGTTTATTGCCAAGTAGCATCGTGTACATGGACGAGGAATTTGCTGTGGTTCAAGACATAGACAGACATACATGATGTAAAAATATATGAATATTGAATAAACAGAGGTGCAACTTAGAAAAGTATATAAGAATAATAGAAGTATTTGTAAAATAAACAACAATGTGGAGGTTATTTACATGTGCATTACTGTGGATTTATATTGTGCAAACACATTTATATAAATAAAATTTACAAAATATCAAAGAATAATAAGGAAAATTGTGCAATATGGAGGTTTGTGCATCACCCCCCACCCACCCACCCCCGCCTCAGCCTAATTTTCCATCATAAACTCCACTCGTTTGTCTTTGTCTTAGTTTTGAGCTGCGTGCCCTGGTTTACTGATCCCCTGGGGGTATCCCATGATTCCTTGAGGCCATGAGCACTCTGCCAACGCACCACACAACCCGCCACCACCACACAACATCAACACGCTGACGTGGTCCTTCATTTCTTTGTTCACAATCTTGAGCAGTTTTTGTGTGAATCTGAAAGTTCAACGTCTCAGTTATTCCTCAAAACCCAACTCGGAGCCCGACACAAAACATGCGTTCGCCGTCTCTCACACACACACAAACTGGTATTTGTAAAAGAGGGATGTGCCGGGAGTTTTGGGTACCCAGGGCGTTTTAAAAAGCGACGCCAAGGAGTGTCGGCAAAGCGTCCATATGTGACGCAGCTTTGGCAAGGGTTCATCAGTGATGGAGGAAGTAGAAGTACTAATACCAAACATACAAAGAAATACTAGTAAAAATCCTGCATTGAAAAAGTAAATGTATGTTTACATAATCAGGAAAATATTCCTAAAGTATTAAAAGGAAAAGTACTCTGACTGTAGTACTTTTATATATTCTATTATCACATTATTATTCCTCACACATTCATGTAAAAGTAGGATTTTACTGCTGTAGTTGTTGAGGTGGAGCTCATTTTAAAGTATTTTGTATCAGACTGCAGCTAAAGAATGTATTTATATATTAATTTATATATTAATCAGCTGATAATTTTTTCCATTAATCGATTGATTGGTTTGTAAAGATTCCTGTCACAATTAGCCAGAGCCCAAAGTAACAAAGTAAACTTAAACGTTAGTTGTGCTACAGGTTTCACTATCGTCGTGTTGTCAACATTGTTGTTTCTGGTTTCTGATCTGGACTCCTTGTTGTTTCCATACAGACAACACCTCATCTGTAAAGTTGGCCTGCTACATCCTGATTGGAGTCGGGACGTTCTCCATGCTCATGGGCTTCCTCGGCTGCTTGGGGGCCATTTATGAGATCCGCTGTCTGCTGGGCCTGGTGAGTGGCAGATATGTGTGGACGGATCATTTAGACATGATGATGGTTAATGCAGGCGTAGTGCGAGTGTCTGAGGCTCAAAGGACCCACAACAGCTCTCAACGAAATTTATTTACTAAAAGTCTTACTTTGAATTACTTAAAGGATAATGTCGGTAGATTTAAAACTTTTTTAATTCCGTGCAGTAGATGCTTCAGCCGGCAGCTGAATCCTTCAGGGGGATTGCACCCGTCAGAATTACGTCCACAAAAAGTGCTTCTTTTTGCCCCCGACAGGCTCAGACTGTTTTACAAGGTGGACTGAGAACATCATGGAAAGGATCCTCTTTGGTTTGTTCTTGCACGAAGACGACGGTGCAAACAAAGTTGAGGAGTTTGTTCTGTTGGAGCACGTTAGGAAATAAAGTCTTCCTAGCTGCTCCTCTTCGTACATAACAAACTCCTCTCCCTCATTTCCTCCTGCAACAACTCTCCTCTCATGAGTTTTCAGAACGAGAACTGTCCTTGAGCGAGACTTCAGTTTCCTGTTGAAAAACAAAGGGGGTCACCGGGAGTCCCTCGTAGGGATCCTTTCCATGATGTTGTCAGACAGGCTGACGCTGTTGCTGGCAAGAAGAAGCACTTTTTCTAGATGCCATTTTGATGGCTGCAATTGCTTAGAAGGAATACGTTGCAGCCGGTTCAGCTTCCAGCTGAAGCATCTACTGCACGAAATTAAAAACTTCTTGTACCTTCTAGCAATTAGGACACCAATATACAGTATCTCACAAAAGTGAGTACACCCCTCACATCTTTGTAAATATGTGATTAAATCTTTTCATGTGACGACACTGAAGAAATGACACTTGGCTCCAGTGTAAAGTAGTGAGCGTGCAGTTTGTATAACAGTGTAAATTTGCTGTCCCCTCAAAATAACACATCACACAGCTATTAAAGTCTAAACCGCTGGCAACAAAAGTGAGGACACCCCTAAGTGAAAATGTCAAAATTGGGCCCAATCAGCCATTTTCCCTATTATCATGTGACTCGTTGGTGTTACCAGGTCTCAGGTGTGAACGGGGAGCAGGTGTGTTAAATTTGGTGTCGTCGCTCTCACACTCCCTCATGCTGCTCACTGGAAGTTCAACATGGAAAATAACTCTCTGAGGACCTGAAAAAAAGAACGGTTGCTCTACATAAAGATGGCTGAGGCTGTAAGAAGACTGAAGCTGAGCTGCAGCACGGTGGCCACGACCATACAGCGGTTCACCAGGACAGGTTCCACTCAGAAGAAGGCCTCGCCATGGTCGACCAAAAAGTGCACGTGCTCAGCGTCATATCCAGAGGTTGTCTTTGGGAAATAGGCGTCTGAGTGCTGCCAGCGTTGCTGCAGAGGTTGAAGGGGTGAGGGGGGTCAGCCTGTCAGGGCTCAGACCAGACGCCGCACGCTGCATCAAACTGGTCTGCATGGCTGTCGTCCCAGAAGGAAGCCTCTTCTAAAGATGCTGCACAAGAAAGCCCGCAAACATTTTGCTGAAGACAAGCAGACTAAGGACATGGATTACTGGAGGTGAGGAGTTCAAAGACAAGTGAGTCCTGCCTACAGTCCAGCAGGTGGTGGGAGTGTCCTGGTCTGGGGCTGCATAAGTGCTGCCGGCACTGGGAGCTACAGTTCACTGAGGGAACCGTGAGTACTGTGACATACTGAAGCAGAGCAGGATCCCCTCCCTCCAGAGACCGGGCCGCAGGACAGTATTCCAACATGAAAAGGACCCCAAACACACCTCCAAGACGACCGCTGCCTCGCTAAAGAAGCTGAGGGTAAAGGTGATGGACTGGCTCCAGACCTGAACCCTACTGAGCATCTGTGGGGCTCCTCAAACGGAAGGTGGAGGAGCGCAAGGTCTCTAACATGACGTCATCATGGAGGAGTGGAAGAGGACTCCAGAGGCGACCTGTGAAGCTCTGCTGAACTCCAGGCCCAAGAGGGTTAAAGCAGCGCTGCAAAATAATGGTGACCGCACATTTTCTCTTAGGGGTGTCTCACTTTTGTTTCCAGCATTTTAGACATTAATGTCTGTGTGATGTGTTATTTTGAGGGGACAGCAAATTTACACTGTTATACAAGCTGCACACTCACTACTTTACACTGTGGCAAAGAGTCATTTCTTCAGCCACATGAAAAGATATAATCCAATATTTACAAAAATGTGAGGGGTGGACTCACTTTTTGTGAGATACTGTTTGTGAAAATAGGGCCCAGGTTTAAGAAATATCGACATTAACCTTTAAAGTCCCTGAGGTCAGAGTGTTCGGTCACAATGTAGGATCAGCTTATAGAGCAACAACAAACCTTGAAAGAATTGGATAAAGATTTCCTAATCTGGTATCTTAATAGTTTCTCCCTTGTATACTAAATTATTTTTCATTATTGACTGAAATCTGTCCTGTACCACTGAATAACCACTGGAGCTGTGTTAAAGTATTAACCTGCACATATGCAGTGTGAAAGGTTAAAGCAGTCAAATGTCTGCTGGGTAAAAAGAGATAATTTAACAGGGACTCATATTTCTAAGTTGTGGTTTCAAAGTGCTTCACAGTTCGACACTAGAAAAATAAGAGACTAAGTGGTAGAAAAGTCAAAACAGCAGAACACACAGAGACTCGTGTAACGTGAATAAAAGGGAAACGGCTCACAGTTTGTCTTCAAACCGTATTTGTGTGGTGGAAGACGTCTCACACCAGACCTCCATACATAAACTTTAAATATAAGGCTGGTGTTATTCTATTTATTTATTTATTGTTGTCATTAAAAAACTAAACTTCCTGACTGTTTCCTCTTAAATACACCAATCTTTATTTATAAAGTCTCAGCTGCTCACTGTGGTTTTTAACAAACAATATTCAAACAGGAGGTTCGACAGTAACGAGGTAAATTTACTCAAGTACTGTACTTACAAATTAGAGGTATTTGTACTTTACTTCTCGTGCCACTTTCTACTTCTCCTCCACTATCTCACTATATTTCACAGCTTTACAAAGTTAGATTTTTATACACAAAACACATAAAGAGTTTTAAAAAATATGCTGTTTTGTTATAAATTAAACTGCGTAACAGTTTATATAAGCACAGCAAGTACTTTCATTTATTGAAAGACATTTAATTGGCAACTATTTGGTTCACAAATGTGAAGATTTGCTGCTTTTTCTTTTGTAGTTATTTTTAATGTATTTTTAATTTAAAAAACAAAACAAGCATTGTGAAGGTGTCACTTTGGGCTCTGACACCATTTCTCACTATTTTCATAATTTTTAAACTTGTTTAAAGGAGAAAATAATCTGCAGATTAATCCATGATGAAAATAATCATTAGATGTTTGTTTTTGTTTTTTTACATTAATGCATGATTTATAATAATAATAATAATGTAGTATATTATGGTACTACAGTCACAGGACATTGAGTACTTCTACTTTCAATACTTTAGGTATATTTTCCTGATTATACTTACATACTTTTACTTAAGTAATATTTCCAATGCAGTACTTTTACATTGTGGTATTAGTACTTTTAATTAAGTAAAGGATCAGGATACTTACAGCTCTGTTTGTTGACAATAAGCAAAATATCACCCTGCCTTGTCTTTGATGTTCTGGTTTGACGGCAGGGTCCTGCTGAACATGTGTTTAATACTCTTACAGTTGTTTTTGGGTTTGATAAGTTTAACATCTGTTGCTTCTCCTCAGTACTTCACCTGCCTCCTGCTGATCCTCATCGCTCAGATAACAGCTGGCGCCCTCATCTACTTCCATAAGAACAAGGTGAGTGACGTCACTTCCTCTTTGTTTGTCCTCCATCCCACCGCAGCGACAACATAGTACACGAACATCCCGTTAGTTTCCCCTTTTTGTAATCAGTCTCAACCAGAATCCAAACGCACCTGTTAATTACACAGCTTCACCTTCTGATTGGTCGTGTTCACACCCACAATGTGTCATCATTATAAAACTATGGGTGTGGCTGTAACATAGGAACATCACGTGCCATGAACAGAAGCTAATTGTACCCTTGAAACAAGTTCACCACTGCAGCTGAGAATACAGCGTCTGATTAGGCGACATAAAGACGCTAGACGACTAAATTAAAACTGGCAGCATTTAGCGTTACAGCGCCCTCTGATGTGCAGTCTGAGACATTTAAACAAAAAGAGTGCAAGATTACTTTTACAACATACATGTGCTGCGTACTTAAAACGCAATAAATTACTTTATTTTACAGGTTTTATGGGCCTGAACCTGCATTTTTGTTCATTTGTCCGCTTCCTTTTATCTCCCTCTCAAAGTCTCCTCTTAGCTTCAGATGTGCATCTACTGGATGTTCCAGGTCAAAATGTGTCATTGGAGCTCATTACAGAAGATTAGGGCTGGTTGATCTGGCCAAAAATGTCATATAATTTGATATCTATAAT